CAATAAAATATATTTAAAAAAATGCTACGTGGATAAACTTTGAAAACATCACACTAAGTAAAAGAAGCTAAATGCAAAAGATCACATATTATATGATCTCATTTATTTATTTATTTATTTTTATTTTTTAAAGGAAAGATATTTGAGTGATATCTTTTTTTAAAGCAATTAAAAAATATATTTTTTATTGATTTTTTTTTACAGAGAGGAAGAGACAGGGATAGAGAGTTAGAAACATCGATGAGGGAGAATCATCGATCAGCTGCCTCTTGCCCACCCCCTACTGGGGATGTGCCCGCAATCAAGGTTCATGTCCTTGACCGGAATCGAACCTGGGACCTTTCAGTCCGCAGCTCATTGCTCTATCCACTGAGCCGAACCGGTTTCAACTATATGATTTCAAATATATAGTTTGAGTAAGTTTAGAGATAGAAAGCAGACTAGTAGTTGGGTAGCTGGGGGAATAGAGAATAACTGCTTAATGGGTATGGCATTTAGGGTGTAATAAAAATACACTCAAACTGCTAGAGGTGGTGTTTGCACATGTTTAAAATATATCAAATACCACTGAATTTTACTCTTTACTTCTTTATTTTTTAAAGGTTTTTTAATAGAGAGTTAGAAACATCAATGAGAGAGAAACTTCAATCAGCTGCCTCTTGCACACCCCCTACTGGGAATGTGCCCACAACCAAGGTATATGCCCTTGACCGGAATCGAACCCGGGACCCTTCAGTCCCCAAGCCGACGCTCTATCCATTGAGCCAAACCAGTTTTGGCTCTATTTTATTGATTTTTTTAAGAGACAGATGGGTAGGAAGAGAAAAACATGAATTTGTTGTTGCATGCGTTGGTTGATCCTTGTATGTGCCCTGACTGGTGAATGAACCAGAAACCTTGGCATATCCAGACAGTGCTCTAACCAACTGAGCTACCTGGCCAGGGTTTAATTTTTAACCCACACATTTTAAAAGATCTGAAAATGGATTATGCAGGTTATGCAGCAATGCATATTTGAGAACAGTGGAATGACCCCGAGTCCTTTTTGTGGAAATCAGATGACAAAAGGTGACTTTTAAAAAAAATATATATTTTATTGATATTTTACAGAAAGGAAGGGAGAGAGATAGAGAGTAAGAAACATCTATGAGAGAGAATCATCGATTAGCTGCCTCTTGCACACCCCCTACCGGGGATGTGCCCGCAACCAAGGTACATGCCCTTGACTGGAATTGAACCCAGGACCTTTCAGTCCGCAGGCCGATGCTCTATCCACTGAGCCAAACCGGTCTCGGCAAAAGGTGACTGTTTTTCAGAACAACTATTACCTTAAATTACAGCACTAGTATACTGCTTGGTGAGCAGAATGTTAGTCCTCCCTGGCCCCTTCAACTAGGTGTCCTTATGCAGAGAACAGCTTGCAGCCCACACCTTATGCAGCCCATCTGGAAGGATCCTTTACACCAGTGGTTCTCAACTCCAACCCCATATTGGAAAAAACCAGAGAGCTTTTTGAAAATACTCATGCCCATCTCAGAGATTTGGATTTAACTGGTCCTGAGGCATTGGTTTAATTTAAAAACTCCCCAGTATTTCAATGTGAAGCCTGAGGATGACAACTTTGTATTTACTGATGTGGAAATCTAAACCCAGCTCTACTGCAAATGTATTTGCACTATATAGGCATGCATTGACATGCCGATGGGATTCACATCACAACAAAAATCTAACACAATGCCAAGTACTGGCATTTCAACATTTACTGCCAGGAACCTCTGCCTTTGCCACTCATCCCCAGATGTCCAGGCAAGCTCCCTGACCTGTCTCACATTGAGGAGGGAGCTACTAGGCAGCTGAACCACGACACTGGGACTGCAACTCGAGATTGTGGGACTAGGAGTTCTGAAGTCAAGTTTGGGCTCAGCACAAGCCTGGTTGTGCGACCTTGAAAAGTTACTTCACAGTCCCCTGCTTCAGTTACTTTGGTTATGAAATGAAACTAATGGTATGGGCACATTTGCCAGAAATATAATGAGATTTAATGAGTCAAGTATTTGTAAAGTGCTCCATAAAGATAAATTGTTGTGCAATTAAGTAAGTTCATTGTGTGAAATTCCATTGAAATATTTATTTTTAAAATGGCCCCCTGATTTTTTAAAATACATTTTTATTTATTCTAGAGAGGAAAGGAGAAGGAGAGACAGAAACATCAATGATGAGAGAATCATTGATTGGCTGCCTCCTGCATGCCCCACATTGGAGATGAAGCCCACAACCTTGGCATGTGCCCTGACCAGGAATCTAACTAACCATTCATAGGTTGACCCTCAATGATTGGCCCCGATGATTGACACAGGAGGGTAGGAAGCTGTTTAGACAGATCTGCTCATAGAGTTCTCTGATCCCTGCCTTTTCCAGGTTTTGTGTTCAAATCTTCTTGAGTTTCTGAAACAATAGCCCCTGTTCTTTTTTAAAAATATATATTTTATTGATTTTTTACAGAGAGGAAGGGAGAGAGCTAGAAACGTTGATGAGAGAGTAACATCGTCCAGCTGCCTCTTGCATACCCCCTTCCGGGGATGTGCCCACAACCAACTTTGACCGGAATCGAACCCGGGACCTTTCAGTCTGCAGACCGACGCTCTACCACTGAGCCATTCTGGTTTCAGCAGCCCCTGTTCTTTTAATAAATTACTTTTTCTCTTCCTTAAGCCAGCCTGTGCTGGTTTCTGTTACTTGTAAACAAAAAGAACTTAAACTAATGCAATAAATCAGTACAGCATTTTCCAAATTGTAGTAAGGCTATGTTCTAAAATGTTAGTTATTCCAGGCCAGGGTAACTCAGTTGGTTAGTGTTGTTCTATATATATATATATATATATATATATATATATATATATATATATATACACACCAAGGTTGCAGGTTCGATCCCTTGTCAGGGCACATAGAAGCATCAACCAATAAAATCATAAGTAGAACAACAAATTGATGTTTCTCCCTAAAATCAATTAAGATTAAAAAAAAAAAAGGTTCATGTTTTGTACAAAAATAATGCTTAATATACTTTAATTTTTATATCCTCAAATAGCTTTCATATTAAGAACTGTATTATGGTGCCGAAGCTGGTTTGGCTCAGTGGATGGAGCGTTGGCCTGAGGACTGAAGGGTCCCAGGTTCGATTCCAGTCAAGGGCATGTACCTGGGTTGCGGGCACATCCCCAGTCGGGGGGCGTGCAGGAGGCAGCTGATCAGTGATTCTCTCTCATTGATGTTCTAACTCTGTATCTCTCCCTTCCTCTCTGTGAAAAAAATCAATAAAATATATTAAAAAAAAAAAATTAGGCTGCTCCAAAATTTATTTTACTTCTTTAAGAATTCATATTGATTCTTCATCTGTTTCAACTTTTGTTTGCTTTATCCATCAACTTTTCGGGGATTTTGTATGCCTTTGTAATATTAGTAAAAGAAATAAGCACAACAATCCTGATTGTGCGGTTCAGTTGGTTGGAGCACTGAAAGGCTGCCAGTTTGATTTTTGGATGGGGAACAGGCCTGTTTTTGGATTCGATCCCTAGTTGGGCACACACAGGGGGCAACCTTCCCCTTTATCTAAAATCAGTGAAAACATATCCTTAGATTTTCTTCTTTTTTAAAAACATATTTTATTGATTTTTTTTTTTTACAGAGAGGGAGTGTGCAAGAGGCAGCTGATTGATGATTCTCTCTCATCGATGTTTCTAACTCTCTATCCGGATACTCTCTCTTCCTCTCTGTAGAAAACAAATAAAATATATTTTTTAAAAAAAGAAAAAAAAATGTCTTGCCAATAGCCTTAAAAATCACTTCAAAAATAAATTTTTGTTTTGGCTTAGAGGAGTTACACTACTAGTTTGTTAAAGTCTATTTTGAATCAAGAGCTTGGTGGAGCAAAATGTAACCTAGGATATAACTGTGATTCTCTGCTATTAATAGACTTGGATTAGAAATCAAAAACCCTAGATGCCAAATTTCAACTCTAATTTACTAATCATAGGCAACACATCATTTCTAATTCCAGTTCTATCAATCTGCACAAAATTAGAACAAGGATAACTAGTTCATATGAAGAGTTCTCTAATCCATCATATAAATGCAAAATGGACTGATGGTTTCTTTTCTTTTTTTAAAAAAAATATATTATTGATTTTTTTACAGAGAGGAAGGGCGAGGGATAGAGAGCTAGAAACATCGATGAGATAGAAACATCAACCAGCTGCCTCCTGCACACCCCCTACTGGGGATGTGCCCACAACCAAGGTATATGCCCTTGACCAGAATGGAACCTGGGATCTTTCAGTCCACAGACTATCCAGTAAACCAAACCGGTTTTGGCTGGTTTCTTGAATTGTATCTTTTTTTTTTTTTTTTTTTTTAATATATTTTATTGATTTTGTACAGAGAGGAAGGGAGATAGCAAGTTAGAAACATCAACGAGTCATCGATCAGCTGCCTCTTGCACACCCCCTACTGGAGACGTGCCCGCAACCAAGGTACATGCCCTTGACCACAATCGAACCCGGGACCCTTCATTCCCCAAGCCGACGCTCTATCCATTGAGCCAAACCGGTTTCGGCTGAATTGTATCTTTTAAGCAACTACTCATCTGTTTTCCAGGCTGCTCTTGACCTTGAATTGGGGTTTATCCTTCAAGCTTTCTGTGAACTTCTGACTCAGACAGGGAAAGGGGCCTCCCCCCATGTCACACCTGCCTCCCCCAATTCTCCCCATGAGACACAGCACTTATCATGCAGTGCTGTCTTTAAGCTCCCTATTACAGATACCCTGTCTGGCACATTTTAGCATTTACTGTTCCCCACCCTTCTCCAGAAGGTAGAAGACATTAGACACAGTTCACCGATCACAATTTATTTAATCTGTTGGCAGCATAGATATTACCAGAACCATGCTTTCATAGAAATGGACATTAAGTAGCCATTCTATGGGGAACTGCAGTGCACTTAATCACCACCATCTTTCAGTTTCTTGATGTTCTGCTTGTGCCGCTCAATTTCTTTCTGCAGACGTTCAATCTCCTTTTTATGATGCTGGATCTCCTCTTCATGGTGTTTCTTCAAGGCTGCCAGTTGTTCTTTAGTCCGCTCTCTACAAGTAAACAGTGACTCTGGGTTTAATCCTAATCCATCACTGCAAAGAGATCTTTCAGCAGAACCTGCAATACCTAAGGCAAAGGAGTCCCAGTCTCACCGGAGTCTGGCTGGTCATCCTCTTCTAGCTCCAGCCCCACTAGTGAAAGAACACTCCACCCCTCTGTAGGAAATGACCACATGACTCCATTTTTCTGGTGCTAGTGCCTGAAATTCCATCATTCACGAGCTATTCCTTTTATATTCCTCATTAGAGCAGGAAACTCCAGAGAGGTGTGATGTATGTCCCCAATACCTTATTAGAGGAATAACCAAGAGAACAGAATCCCTTTTTGGGGAAATGAGTAGACAAAGGGGTATAGTGAAAGGACAAATATTTGCAATCTATTTTAAATTACCTAGAGCTTTCTTTGCCTAGAGAAGTGCATGGCCCAGTGTAAAGGCCAAAGAGAAGGGGGGAGGGAGGGAGGGAAAAGAAGGGGCCTCCTGCATGGGCAGTACTTGGCAGTCCAATTGAGAAACAACATAGCCCTGGCTGGGTGGCTCAGTGGGTTGGAATGTTGTTCTGTGCATCGAAAGGTTGCGGGCTTGCTTCCTGGTCAGGGCACATATCTAGATTGTGGGTTCAAATCTGTGTTGTAGTGTGTATGGGAGGCAACCGGTCAATGTTTCTCTCACTTCGATCTCTCTCTCTTTAAAAACAAACAAAAAACCAATAAAAACATCTTCGGGTGAGGATTAAAAAAAGAAAAGAGAGAGCCCTTTCTGGTTTGGCTCAGTGGATAGGGCTTCGGCCTACAGATTGAAGGGTCCTGGTTTGATACTGGTCAAGGGCACATGTCTGGGTTGCTGGATGTGCAGCAACCCAAGTAGGGGATATGCAGGAAGGCAGCCGATCAATTAATCTTTTTTTAAAAATATATTTTTTTTATTGATTTCAGAGAGGAAGGAAGAAGGAGAGATAGAAACATCAATGATGAGAATCATTGATTGGCTGCCTCCCACATGCCCCCTTCTGGGGATGGAGCCCACAACCCTGGCATGTGCCCTTGACCAGAATCGAACCTGGGACCTTTCAGTCCACAGGCGGATGCTCTATCCACCGAGCCAAACCGGCTAGGGCAAAGCAATGATTCTCATCATTGATGTTTCTCTCTCTCTCTCTCTCTCTCTCTCTCTCTCTCTCTCTCTCTCTCTCTCTCTCTCTCTCTCTCCCTGTCTGAAATAAAAAACATATTTAAAAATATGTAAGAACCCAAGTAGGTGGTCTTTAAGGGCTGTACTTTGACTTTCTGGTATGTCCGGGGCCATGGTGATAAATTTTTTTTTTTTTTAAGAATGGTTTGTTGATTTTTATAGAGAAAAAGAAAGGGAGAAGAAACATTCATGTAAGAGGCCACAACCCCACCCTGTGTCCAGACCAGGAATGGAATCAGCAATCTTTCCAAGCATGGGCGAGGCTTAACCTATTGAGCCATACCCGCCAGGGCCAAGGTGATAATTCTTAAGAATGAAGAAGAGAAGGCAGAAGTGAAAAGATGGCCAAAGGAGAATCAGAGATAACTTCTACACTATTCCTTACTGTGCAGAGAAGTCAGAAAGGATAATTCAGGGTTGGTAAAAATGTAGAGGCCTAGCCCACTCCACACTTTTTTTTATTGTTGTTGTTAATCCTCACCTGGGGATATTTTCCCATTGATTTTTAGGACGAGTGGAAGAGAATGATAGACATCCACGTGTTGCCTCCTGCATGAGCCCAGACCAGGACCCTGACAGGAAGGAGCCTGCAACCAAGATACTGCCCTTCCGGATCCGGTCCGCATGCCAATCCCTCTCCGGAGGCTCTATCCACTGACCCAAAGCCAAGCCGCTAGGGCTCCACTCCATACTCTTTTTAAAAATATATATTTTTAATTTATTTCAGAGAGGAAAGGAGAGGGATAAAAACAAACATCAACGATAGAATCATTGATCAGCTGCCTCCTGCACGCCCCCACACTGGGGATAGAGCCGTCACCTGGGCATGTGCCCTGACCAGGAATCGAACAGTGACGTCCTGGTGTATAGGTGATGCTCAACCACTGACCCACACCCGGCCGGGCCCACTCCATACTGGGCGGAGCCGGCCAAAAGTCTCCAGGAAATGAGGAAGGGAATTTCAAGTCGGGAGCACTCAGCTCTATCTGACCCACTCGCTCTGGCCAAGTTAGGCCTTGGAGGTCTAGGGGATCCATCCCTTAGGGGCCAGCCAAGCTAAGGCGCGTGGAGGAGAAAACATCCTGGAAGGATATAGAGTGGGTGTACACGCAGGGGGCAAACTGAGAGGGCCTGCCAGGACTGGGCGGTTGGATCCAGACAATGCAAAGGATCTGGGGGCGTTTTGCACGATCTGGGAAGAACTGCACGGGTGGGGATGGTAAATGGTTCTGGAAGAATTGGGCCAGAGAAGCGCAGGTGGGAATGGCTTGGATTGTGGGCCCTGGGGCTGACTCTTCAGCAGGTCACTAGGAGCAACGTGTAACGAGGCCCGGAACCGGGAGCTCTGCTGCGGGGGTGGGGCGACCTGGCACCGGGACGGGCGAGGTGGGGAGGGCGACTGGGAGTTTAAGAAGGCCGGGAAGGAAGGCTCTGCGAGATCTAGGGCTGGACTCCGACCCGGGGCCTCACCGGAAGTATCGTTCCTCTTCGGCCTTCTCTTTTTTCGCGAAGGTCCCGCCGGCCTCCCTGATGGCGCCCTCGCTCGAGCTGTAGTGAGCGGGCTGCGGAGAGAGACGTGACATTGGGAAAGGTGTGGGGGGCGGGGCGAGGCGCCCGCGCCCAGGGCCGGGGCAGCGGCCTCTGCCGCGGGCCTACCTGTGCGCAGCCGAAGCCTCCGGCTTGCATGGCCCTCGCTGCCCGCACCGTGAGCCGCAGCCGCGCCGCCGCCGCCGCAACTGCCATGGTTGTCAGAGCCGCGCAGTACCGGACGCAGAGGTGCCGACTCCCGTGGGCGCTAACGACGCTCGCGGCCGGCGACCAATCGTGTCCGTGGAGAGGCGGAATGAAGCCGGGAGGAGCGAATCACGAAAGGGGGAGGGCGGGGTTTCTGGAGCTCGCGGCCAATGCTGAGCAGGAGGCGGGCCTATTTTTAGCCAATCCCTAGCAAGGTCTCCTGGGCCACAGGATAGAAAAACAAGAATGGAGGACGTTGGAGGCGAGTCCCCGGCGAGGGAGGGCCAGAAGCCATTGGATGGGAGCATGGCATCCACCCTTCACCCCCCGGATTCTAATCCCAAGTTTATTATTGTTAAACACCCGAAGGAAATCTTCCCTTTCCTGGACCGTTAGGGTCCATCAGATACTATACGAGCTTTGGCTGGTGGGTCAGTGGTTAGAGCGTGGGGGGGTGGGGCCCATGTACTCAAGGGTCACGAGTTCGATCCCCGGTCAAGGGAACAGGTACCTGGATTCAAGGTTGCACCCCTTTTCCCCTAGTGGAGACGCCTTTGGGATATTTCTCTCTCTCCTTTCCTACTACTCTCACACAAATCAATGGAAAAAATATCCTCTGATGAGATTAACAAAAACAGCAAAGATGCTATAAGAAGAATAGTAAGATAAAAACAGATTTGGTAAGATGCTATAGGGATTGGAGTGTGGATATCTATGTCCAACATAACCGGACTTAGTTGGATTGTGGGTAAAAATGTTGTATATATAATTGGTCTCTTAAGAGATATCAAATGTCCTTTTGTTGCACTGCCATTTCACTATGAAGTCTCAGCTTAAATGTCACCTCAGAGGAGTCATCCCTGATCTCCTTAGTCATTCTATCATAGCTCCCTGTTTTGTTCTTTCTCTCTCTTTGCACTTTTCACTTTCTGAAGTTATCAGAGTCAGGATCAAATAGGCATTAAGTTAGTATTTGTAAAATTAATGAATAGGTTATCAAAAGGTGTGGTGCAATGAAGAGCATAAGTAGGAGTCTAGGGAAGGATTTGGCTTGACATTCCTTCAGCCATGAACAAATATGAACAAGAAAATAGTAGTTTATATAGCCTTTGCCTGCCTATGTCATATTTTCTCTCTGGACTTAGTTTTTTTTTTTTTTTTTTTTTTTCTCCTGTAGATGAGAGAGTTAGGCCAGATTATCTATGTTACTTATGATTATAACACTTGTTTTCTATGAAATAGTAGAACTATTTTTATTAATCATCTTTTGGCTGGAAAAATGCCAGAACTGGTTTGTATGACTTGGGAGAAAATGGCTGTGGGGCACATTTTCAAATGTTCATTGCAGAAAATTTGGAAAAAGACAAAGCAGGGTAGAAGCAATAATCATTTATAATTCCTACCTGGTGATAATAATTTGGTGTGTTTCTAGATGATCTTTAAGTACCATTCCACTTTCAGAAACTCTGTTTCTACTTCTCATATTGCTATTTCTTGATTATCTCCTAGGCTGGGCATCCAGTGGAGGGTCTTACAGAGTTTGTGTAAAAGATCCATCTAGGCATTAGAATGACTGTGATTAAAAAAAATAGAGAAATTGTAAAATTTCAACATTGCTGGTGGGAATATAAAATGTTTAGGCTGCTATGGAAAACAGCTTGGCAGTTGCTCAAAAATTAAATATAGAATTCCCATATGACTCAGCAATTTCACTTTAGATATTTGGTATATACATCTCCCCCTACAACCCCCCCAGTAGAAAATTGGTTCTTGAACAAATACATGTAATTTCAGGTTCATAGTGGTACTATGAACCAAAAGATGGAAACAACCCAAATGTACATCAATGAATGAATAAAAGAACAATGTAATATTATTTAACCACAAAAAGTAATTAAGTAACGATACATGCAATACCTTAGATGAACCTTAAAAACTTGCTAAGTTGAAAGAAGGCAGACACAATAGGTCTCATATTGCATGGCTGCATTCATATGAAATGTCCAAAACATGTAAAATCTATAGAGACAAGACATAGAATGGTTGTCCGGGTTTGGGAAGTAAGGGAATGGGAGAGGTTGTCCGGGTTTGGGAAGTAAGGGGTGCCAGATGCCCTTTTGGAGTGATGAAGCTGTGGAACTAGATAGAGATGGTGGTTGCACAATACTGTGAATGTACTAAAGGCCAATGAGTTGCTGAAACCAGTTTGTCTCAGTGGATAGAGCGTTGGCCTGAGGACTGAAAAGGTCCCAGGTTTGATTCTGGTCAAAGGCATGTACCTTGGCTGCTGGCACATCCCCAGTAGGGGGTGCGCAGCAGGCAGCTGATCGATGTTTTTCTCTCATCGATGGTTCTAACTCTCTATCTCTCTCCCTTCCTCCCTGAAAAAAAAAAATCAGTAAAATATATTAAAAAAAAGATACAGTACCTGTCTTTATAAAAAAAATAAAACGGTTAGCTGAAACCTGTTTGGCTCAGTGGATAGAGCGTTGGTCTGCAGACTGAAGGTTCGATTTCGGTCAAGGGCATGTACCATGGTTGCAGGCACATCCCCAGGAGGGGGTATGCAGGAGGCAGCTGATGGATGTTTCTCTCTCATCCATGTTTTTATTTATTTATTTATTTATTTATTTATTTATTTATTTATTTATTTATTTATTTTAATATATTTTATTGATTTTTTTTTTGCACCCTCCCATACTCATCCATGTTTTTAACTCTCCCTCTCCCTTCCTCTTCCTCTCTGTAAAAAAAATTAATAAAATATATTTAAAAAAATAAATAAAACGGTTAAGAATATGTCATGTGTGTTTCACCTTAACTTAAAAAAAAAAAAAAAAAAAAAAAAAAAGTCTTCAGTTGGCGGCGCCGGCTCCCAGCCCCTTAAGGCGGGAGGCGAGGCTGGAGGCGGCCCCGAAGCATCACGGGGCGCGGCGCCTGCGCAGAAGAGTCACGTGGTGCCTGGGCCGGGGAAGATGGCGGCTTCTGGAGAGAGCGGGGCCTCGGGCGGCGGAGGCAGCACGGAGGAGGCGTTTATGACCTTCTACAGTGAGGTGAACCACGCGGGATGAGTCATGGCGCCCGGGCGGCCCTCCTGGGCCTGCTCTGCCCCCGGCGGAGGCAGCGGCCCTCCTGGCCTGGACCGTTGGGCGGCTCCTCCTGTTTGGCCTCCGGGGCGGCGCGGGATTAGGGGTGTGTGTGTGTGTGTCTCCCTGGTAGCTGCTGGGGGACCCCCTGGGCCATGGGAAAGGGGTCGGGTCCAACTTGTGCGGGCAGATGGCGATTCTGGCCAACGAAGCATCTGGGCGCGCGTGGAGCTCCCAGGTCGGCGGAGCTGGGGCTGGCCTTCCTGGGGGCGACTTCGCCGTCCTGGCCGCCGTTTTTATTTTTAAACGTCCGCACTCTCTCCCTAGTCCGCTGTCATGAGCCGTGTTAGCGGTTATTCATGCCCTTCGCGAGGGCCAGGCACCGTGCGTCACTCCAGGTGGGCACCTCCATTTCACAGATGACAAGCCTGAGGTTTGGGGAGAGGAAAGCACTTGTAGCAGCTCGTATCCTCTGAGGACCGGGGTCCGTGCCATCAGAGCTTCGTTTACTGTCGCCTTTCCAGCACCCACTGCATGTGGCTGTTCAGTAAATGGTAGCTCAGCAAGTTCATGGGTGAATACATGAAGGAAAAGCATACCACTTGGAGCCGGAGGACCTCGGATGGGTTTCGTGCCTGGCAGTTACTGAAGTCTCTCAAGGCAGTGATTTTGCAGATGTGGTTGCCACGTCTGTAAAACGAATTAATGTTAAGACGAGTTTTCATGAGGGCGAAGGGAGTAAATTGTATAAGAAGGAGTTTCATAAGCAGCAGCTTCTCTCTAAGGCTTAAGGCCGAGGATGGAGCTCCTGAGGTTGGCATGGATTGGAGGAGTTGCTCCTCACAGGGCTGTGAGCTACCGTGTCGCCTTCACCTTTCATCTTCGCTGTTTTGTAACAGTGTGTTCAGTAGTACTTTCTCCCAAGAATTACATTTAAAAACGGAAATTAGCACGTCCTTTATAGCCTGTCCTTTTGAAATGCCTGGTTCACGTGAAAGTGTTCAGCAATTATAAAGGAACTTGTTTCACTTACCAACTCTTAGTTTGAAAAGAAAAAAAAGCAAAAAGCAGATCTGGTTTGTTTGAATTCGATGAGAGAAAACATGGCAAGGAGGACCCTTCAGTCGCCATTCAGTGTCTGACCTGGACTAGTGTGCTGTTTATGCGCTGCAGATAGGGTAACGAACAGCAGAGAGAAAAAGCCTGTGTTCATTTCATAGAGCTTGCCTTCTATAGAGAAGGATAAACAGTAAACAGATAGATATACAGTATAACGTCAGGTAGTGATGTAAGTGCTATGAGGAAAAATAAGCCTGAGAAAGAAGGTGGGGGGGTGGGGAAGTGGCATGCTATTTTCAAGAGAGTGAAGAGGAAGGAGAAACAATTGTAATAATCTGAACAATAAAGATTTATTTAAAAAAAAAAGAATAAAGAGGGAAAATGCTGAGAAGGAATGGCTTTTTATGTTGTTGAAATTCTTCCTAAGCTTATTTGATGAGAGGAATAAAGATGGTAAATAATATACCAGGCATTCATTTCAACCAGCATTCCAATTCTGATCGTGGCACCAAGGGTGTTTTTCCAGGACTAGCTGGTGCCTGTTCTCCTTTGAATTGTCTTCGGGCCAGGAATTTTCCTAACTCTGTTAGAGTTAGGTAGGCAGAGTTATTTGCTCTATCCCACATAACTTTTTTAATGCTGCCTTTAATATATATTTCCATGTACTTGTATTTTTTTTTTTTTTAAGTTATGTTAAGTATGAACACACTTGAGTACGTCTATCATCAGAATGGTAACTGAAAGTGTTGGATATGACTTTGAAACTCTGAATGGCTGCTCTGGAATCAAACTGTTAAAATTAAAATTCTTATTTATAAGTTGGGTAATTGGGAAGAACTCAGTTAATTTTTCTAAGTCTCAGTTTTCTTATCTGTAGAATGGGGATGATAGTATTTACTGTGTAGAATTGTTGAGAGGAATAAATATGTGTAGTTTTCATAGTATTAAAATTCAGCAGATGGTAGCTGAGTAATTATTCCTCACAGTGGTTAGTAAAATAACTTACGGTGACAATTCAGACTTTATTTATTTATTTATTTATTTTATTAAATTATTATATGTGTACATATTTTAACATTGCCCCCCCCCCCATACATTTCCTCCCTCCCCAGAGTTTTGTGTCCATTGGTTGTACTTATATGCATGTATACAAGTCCTTTGGTTGATCTCTTATCTCCCCCAGATCTACCTACTCTCCCCGCTGTAATTTTACAGTCTGCTTGTTGCTTTACTGTCTTTATATCTGACTTGTGGTTTGTCAGTTTATAATGTTCTTTAATATTCATAAATGAGTGAGGCCATGTGGTATTTCTCTTTCATTGACTGGCTTATTTCACTCAGCATGATGTTCTCTAGTTCTATCCAGGTTTGACCCAGTAATCCCACTCCTAGGAATATATCCTAAGAAACTAGAAACACCAATCAGAAAGAATATATGCACCCCTATGTTCAGACTTTATTTTTGACCTATACTAATGAAGTTCTTATCGCTTTTATTTTAGGTGAAACAGATAGAAAAAAGAGATTCAGTTCTAACATCCAAAAATCAGATTGAAAGATTGACCCGTCCTGGTTCCTCCTACTTCAATTTGAACCCATTTGAGGTGAGCTGTCTGGTGTAGCTTTGGTGTCATGACGGGAGCTTTGCATAGTTGCAGCAGACTTACATCAGAACACACGACTAATTTGTGTTATAGTTGGAATTGAACTTGATGGTTTTTTGTGAGCAGAACCTGAGAGGTAGCCTGTTAAGGAAAATGAGATAGTCTTTGCCCTATCAGATATTCTCCATCATCGTTAAGCAACCCAAATATATATGGGTTTATTTTTAGATGTAAAGGAATAGCTAGCTTTGATAAATTTGGGATCTTCGGTTTAATTTGCTTGTTAAAATTTTCTGTTTCACTACAATTAAAAAAAATATTAAAAATCCCAACAACTAAAAAATGATCACAAGGAGATACAGTTTTTGGGTTTCTTTAGTTTTATAATATTTATAATATTTCTTATTAAAATTTGAAATATAAAGAAAGCAAGGATAAACATTCATGTATAATTCTCCCTAAGAGAAATTTTAGCTACTCTTTACTGTTTATATTCAAACGTTTTAATAGTTTTATCCATATAACGAAAGCCTAAGTAACCATTATGGTGGAATGACCAGAACAATCGGTGCTATGATGTGCACCAACCACCAGGGGGGCAGATGCTTAAATAAGGAGGAGCACAGGGGGAGCGCAGCTCAGCCAGAAGCTGGGCTCATGGCTGGCGGGTGCAGCAACGCTAAGGAGCAGCTGAGCAGTGAGCAGGTGGGCGGTAAGGAGCGAGGGGTCCCGGACTGTGAGAGGGATGTCTGCCTGCTGGCTATCCCCCGAGGGGTCCCAGAGTGCTAGAGGTCACAGGCTGGGCCAAGGGCCCCCCTCCCCCTGCCCTGCCCCCTGTGCACAATTTTCTTTTCTTTTTTTTTCCTTTTTTTTTTTCCCTCCCTCCCTCCCTCCCTTCCTTCATCCCTCCCTTCCTTCCTTCCTTCCTTCCTTCCTTCCTTCCTTCCTTCCTTCCTTCCTTCCTTCCTTCCTTCCTTCCTTTTTAAAAAAATATATTTTATTGATTTTTTACAAAGAGGAAGGGAGAAGAATAGAGAGTTAGAAACATTGATGAGAGAGAATCATCAATTAGCTGCCTCTTGCACACCCCCTACTGGGAATGTGCCCACAACCAATGTACATGCCCTTGACCGGAATTGAACTTGGGACCTTTCAGTCCGCAGGCCAACGCTCTCTCCACTAAGCCAAACTGGTTTCGGCCCTGTGCACAATTTTCATGCACCAGGCCTCTAGTTTAAAAATAAGGAGGATCATATAGATACTTTATGCTACTTATTTATTGCTTTATGCCATTTTAAATGTGTTGTTACATAAAATACAGTTTTGCAACATGTTAAAAGTCTCTATTTAAACAGTTCTTTTATTGTAAGATTTTTAAATTAGCTTCTAATTATTCACACTTATAAATTGAATATTGTTAACATAAAAGTAACACTTATGGAGAATTTATAAAAAACTCTTTATTGTGGTGAAAGACACATAATATAAAAGTAGCCATTTTAACCAGTTGTAGGTATAGAGTTCAGTGGCATTAAGTATGTTTAGTGTGCATGGGCTACTATCCCACCATCCATTTCTAGAACTTTTTCATGGTTTTAAACAGGAATCCCAAGCCCATCAAACAAGAACTTCTCATTCCTCCAACCCCCAGTTCCTTGGTAACTGTTCTCCTTTCTGTCTATGAATTTGCCTCTTCTAGGTGCCTCGTATAAGTAGAATCATACATTTGTTCTTTATGTCTGGCTTACTTCACTTATACTTTTTCAAGGTTCATCCATTGTTTCTGTATTTTTTTTTTTTTTTTTAAAACGTAGTTTCTTTCTTTTTAAACACGTTTTTATTTTTAGAGAGGAAGGGATAGGGAGAGAGAAATATCAGTTGGCTGCCTCCATCATGTTCCTACTAGCAGTGGAGCCTACACCCCAGCCTTGTGCCCGGATGGGAATGGAACCAGTGATCTCCCAGTGCATGGCATGATGCTCAGCTAACTGAGCTGTACTGGCCAGGGCATTCTTTCTGTTTTTCAAAGGCAGGAGCCACTGACTGGAATTATCCCTGTCTGAGGCCTCTGGGGATTAGTGAGGGAGAGGCATGGATACTGACTGACTGACCAATTCTGACTGACCTGCTCTGCACAGCCCCTGCCCAGTCATGTCTTAGCACAATCCCCAGGTAATTCCTCTCACTGAGGCCACAGCTACTTAGGTCTAGAAGTTGACCCCTTGATGGGAGCAGTGCCACCTGCTTCCTCCTGTCATTGGCCCCAGAGTTTCTCCCTGAGTTACCATCTTTTTCCTCCCCTCAGATCTTCCACCTTGAAGATAGGTAAGGACCATGTGTTCTGAGTGACATGGTGCCTCCCACTTGCTCCCCAAGTCTTTGTTCCCTGCCACCTTTTCCTCCCCATTCTTAAATGCTAATAAAGTTAAAAGACAACAAAAAAATATTTTAAAATCTCAGATTTGCAAAAAGGTTGCAAGTATACTATGAAGATTTTCTTGAACTGTTTGAAACTTAGTTGTCAATACATTTTCCCAGCATCCTGGAATATTTTATGCTCTTCCTACAAATAACATTTTCTACTGAACCACAGTATAACCATCTTGAGTTCACAGATCCCATTAAAATTTGTTCATTGTATCAGTAATGACCTTGACAACAAAAGGATCCAGTTAAGAATCTCCTATTACACCTAGTTGTCATGTCTCTTTAGGCTTCAGTCTGGAGCAGTTAGTCTTTCCTTGACTTTTGTGACCTTGACATTTCTGAAGATTACAGGCCAGTTATTTTGTAGCAAGTCTCTCAGTTTGAGTTTATCTGATAATTCTTCATGTTAGTTAGGTTTATGCAATGTTGGCAGGAATATCACACAAGTGATACTGCATTCATGTCTTTACAACTTATAAAGTGGTACCTGATTGGCTGGCTGGTGTGACAGTGTTTGAGCGTCAGCCCATGCACTGAGAGGTTGCAGGTTCAATTTCTGGTCAGGTCCAGGTTACAGGCTGGATCCTCATTGGGGATGTGCAGGAGGCAGCTGATCGATGTTGATTCTCTCCCATTGATCTTTCTATCTCTCCTCTCTTCCTTTCTCACTAAAATTAATAAAAACATTTTTAAAAATTGGTACATGATTTTGATTTATCCCATTATTATCCATTTAAAAAATATATATTTTATTGATTTTTTTTACAGAGAGGAAGGTAGAGAAAAGTTAGAAACATTGATGAAGAGAGTCATCGATCAGCTGCCTCCTGCACACACCCTACTGGGGATGTGCCTGCAACCAAGGTACATGCCCTTGACTGGCATTGAACCTGGGACCCTTCAGTCCACAGGCCAATGCTCTATCCACTGAGCCAAACCGGTTTCGGTCCCTTATTATCCATGTTAACTTGATCACTTGAAGAGTTGCCTACTTGCCCTGACTGGTGTGCTAAGTGGTTACTGCATTGGCCCATGCACCAAAGGATCATGGGTTTGATTCCCTGTCAAGGGCACGTACCTGGGTTTCAGTTGTGTGTGGGAGGCAACCAGTAGATGTGTGTCTCTCAACTCTCTCTCTCCCTCCCTCCTGTCTTCCCTCCTCCCTCCTTCTCTCCTCTCCCCTTCTCTCCCTTCCACTTTCTCTGAAAAGCAATGGAAAAAATATCCTCCCATGAGGATTAACCAAAAAAAAGTTGCCTGATAGCCCTGGCCAGGGAGCTCAGTTGGTTAGTGTCATTCTGATATGCCAAGGGGTGGGTTCAATCCCCTGTCAGGGCACATAACAAGAAACAACCAATGAATGCATAAATAAGTGGAATAACAAATCTCTCAAATCAATTAAAAAAAAATAAGAGTTGCCCGCTAGTTTTTTTCATGAAGTTACTTTTTTTTTTCTTTTCTGTAATTAATAAGTATTTTATGGGGAAGTATTTTGAGACTGTATAAATATCTTGTCCTTAATCAAAGTTTCAATTTATTAGTTTATTTGTCATTATGGACTTGGGATTTTTTTATATTAGTTACTGGGTTATATTTAGATATTTATTTTGATGCTCAAATTATCCCAAATTTGGCTAGTTGGTTACCTTTTAAGTAAGCTCCTGTCTTTTTAATATTCTTCATCATTCTTGGATTACTAGGCACTCTTATACTTTTCCTGACCCAGCCTGGAATTAACTATTTCACAGAGGAGCTCTGGTTCATTTCAGTCAAGAATGGTATTTAAAATCAAGATTTGTCCCTATCTGGTTTTGCTCACTGGATAGATCATCTTCCCTTGGACTGAAGGGCCCTGGGTTCGATTCCGGTTTATGGGCTTGAACCCCAGCTGGTAGTGGGCTGATGAAGAAGCTGTTGCTGCAGGAACTCAGGGATGCAGGGAGGGTGCGGGTGGGGGAGTTTACGTGGAAAGAGGCCACGCACCTGCTGGGAAGCCACCACTCTTCCCCTCTCATTTCCTCTGGGAAAAATCTCCGATCCAAGCAAGATGTATGTCATTAATTCAATATCTAGGAGCTTTTTTCATAGTAACAAATTTACATTAAGTAAATTAATTATATTAAGTGAATGATGTTATAAATATCTAAATAGCCTTTGGTAGAAAAAAGTTTTCCCACCCCTGATCTAAACGAATCAGATTTTTCTATAGACATAAGCAGACTGGTCTTTTTCTAGTAAGAAGAAATAATGCAGTAGTAACTGTCATCTCAGCTATCAGTTGAAATGTGAATAGTCTTTCTATAACCACCTTACTGAGCAGCAGGTAGAAAAGGCAGACATTATCTGGGAATTAAGTCTTATTACAGGGATCCTTTTCTAGGGAGCAATTTTTTCCTGACTGTCATCTCAGCAGCTCTGTATTTGAATACATTTCCAACCTTCAGCCATTATGCAGTCATCTTTCTTACGCATTTTATAATTATTCTCAGGTAAAGAGCTCTCTCCCACTTCCTTCCGTAAAGCTCCAGTGGACCTGTGCTCCTGCTCAGTCCTACCCTTTTCATGTTCCTTAAAAAAAAAAAAAAAAAGAAAAAGAAAAAAGCTTTATTGATTTCAGAGAGAGGAAGGGAGAGGGAGCAAGCGAGAGAGAAGCTTCGATGTGAAAGAGAAACATTGATCTGCGGCCTCCCTCACGTACCCCGAGGGGAGAACACACCACAATCTGGGCATGTGCCCTGAACATATTTTATTTTCTGTTTATCTTGTTCAGCACCTTGAGAATAAAGGTATTTAACAAGTCAGAGAATTCAGGTGTGATGTTTAGGCTGGATTCCTCTTTTAAGTCAAAGGCCCCAAAGAAGGAGACTATTAACAGTTTGAGTTTGGAAAGTTATGTAACTGCCTCAGTCAAGCGTTTTTGTTGCTGTGTGATGGTTAATTAACTCTTTGTGTTCCAAGACTGTGGGTTTTTCATTGCAGTATTCCCAAAACCTGAGACATAACAGCTCAGAAAAATCTTCCAAGAATCTGAACATCCTGTGTGCTTCCTTAGAGCCATATTGGTAATGTGGCACTTATCATTTTTGTTTGTTTGTTTGTTTGTTTTTGAAATTTTATAAGAATTTATTCGAGCCAAGCGGATCACATGCTGGGGAACAAGATCTCAAACACTCCCGGCATTTACCATTTCTGTAAGAGTTACTTATTACTTGTCGATATCCCCCACCCTGCTAGACCTTAAATTCCATGAAAATAGTCTGTGAGCACAGTATCTAGCAGCCTTACAAGTTTATATTGAATGTATAAATCTGACTTGGAAGAGATTTGGGCCACAGGTATTGGTCATTTTCTTCCCTGTGTTTCATGGCTACCTACAACTCTTAAAGATAGGAAGGGAGTTGGATTAGCTTCGAAGGCAAAGCTAATTGGTTGCTGGTAATCAGTGCACACGTGATATAGCTTGGGAAAATACCTTTTTTGTGTGTGTATGTATTTATGTAAGTATACATGCCTTCTTTTTTGCTGAGTCATCTAAAAGGAAGCTGTAGACATTGTGACTCTTTATACCTAAATGAGCATCTTCTTTTCAAAACAAGGGCACATTTCCACATAACCACAAACATGTCCATCTGGGAAAAACAACATTATTTCAATAATATAATCCAGCCTAGAGTCCACTTGCAAATAGTCCCAATTATCCCAAAAAATGTAAATTATGGCTTTAAAAAAAAAACTTAGGAACCAGTTTATGAATTACATTTGGCATGATTAGTCCTTCGGTAGTTTTATTGGAGGCTATGTGCGAGGTGTGTGTGTGTGCACCCATGAAGGTGGGAAGTTTACCATCCTTTCTCGTTCATTTTGGACACCTTATGGGGTTTGTTGGACTTTGGTTTGCTCTAATGCATTCCTTTTCCACAGAACCAAGGAAAGGTAAAGTTCTCTGAATATTTGTATACATACAGTTACCTCTTTATCTGTACATCTTATATGGCTGCATTCTTTCTCTGAGTTTTTCCCAATTCCTTTCTCCCTTGGAAAGGTATGAAGGGGCACCCCAACTCTTGGAAATTCTGTTTTAAAGTTCTTTCTCCTTCACCTCTAGTTGTATTCCTTGCATTTGAGAATGGGTATGCTCTTGTCATAACCTTCAAAAGTCTGTTGAGCCCTGACTGGGGTAGCTCAGTTAGTTGAGCATCTTCCCATGCATTGAAAAGTTGCTGGTTCCTAGACAAGACACATACCCAGGTTTAGGGTTCAATCCCCAGTCAGGGTGTGTGTGAGACCGATTTCTCTCTCTCTCACATAGATGTGTCTCTCTTTCTATCCCTTCTTCTCTCAAATTAATAAGAACATCTCTTAAAAAGTCTATTGAATGTTATGGTTGATTCAGCTTCATTGCATACCAATAATTCTATAGGTGGGCTGTTCGAATGCTTTAAAAGCTTGCTGTACATCTTTACATTACTTGCCAGGTTTTCCTAAGACCCTTTAAGCATCTGACTAAGCTTAGCAGATTACTTTTCAGTTTTAATTTCTCTTGTATGTATTTTTCTTTTTTTTTGCTAATTTTCACCTAAGGATATTTTTTTCCCATTGATTTCTAGAGAGAATGGAAAGAATGAAGGAGAAGGGCCGAGAGAGAGAGAGAGAGAGAGAGAGAGAGAGGGAGGGAGGGAGGGAGGGAGGGAGAGGGGGAGAGGGAAACATTGATGAGAGAGATACATCAATTGGTTGCCTCCCCATGCACCCTGATCAAGGAGGGGGGTAGCTGGAATTGAACGTGCAACCCATGTATGTGCCCTTGATCTGAATTGAACCTGTGACCCTTTGGTCACCAGGCCAATGCTCTAACCACTGAGCAACCAGCCAGGGTGGTAGGTATTTTTCATATTAAGATTTATTTTTTCCCCCTCTCCTACCCCCCTTAATAACTGATCCTTACTTGATGATTATCTTTCTCCCTCTCCTTCTCTCTTTCTAAAAAACCAAAACCAAAACAAAAAAACAAAAACAAAAACAAAAAGTAAAGTTCTTTATAAACACACACACACGTTCCCTTGCCTGTTTATCTGTGCATTTCTAGTACAGAGCAGCATATTCAGCAGGTAGTAACTACTGCATAAAATATTTGAATGAATGTATGTATTTGTATTAATGGGATTAGAATCTTTGATGAGGAATGTCAACATCAAGGGTACCCAGGCTTAAAGAGGAATAGTTAAATTTATTTTTTAAAACAGTATTGCTAACAAAAACCAAAACAGATATTTCTGCCATTTGGAATCAGACTTTGCTACAGGGAGGCCCCGGCATTGAGGCCAGGTTTCCGCAGTGTTTGCGATGTTCTCCGGGTTGAGAACTATCAGGCCGTGTAAATTACAGATAAAGTGGTTCCAAGGGGGCACTCTCAATTGAGGTGAAAATCAGCCAGCCTTATTTCCCCCTTTTAAGTTCTATGCTTTCTCCACATTTGCAAAGGTAAGTAGGGGGTAGGAGGTGGGTACTTTTATTAATGAATAAAAGAGAAATAACAATATTTTCTTACAGTTTGGAAATATGTCTCTGGGTATAAGGTAAGTTATTTTTCTGATGGAGTGAAAGTAACTATTGTATTGAGAACCTAAAACAGCATAGCTATTATTGTTACCGATTTGCTCATTAATATTTCTTGAGCATTTTTAGAACTGGGTCTCAGGCACAGTTCTGGAATGCTGAGTACTATTCTCTATGTTTTAAAAAAATATATATTTTATTGATTTTCCACAGAGAGAAGGAAGATGGATAGAGAGCTAGAAATGTCAATGAGAGAGAAGCATCAACCACCTGCCTCCTGTATGCCCCTTACTGGGGATGTGCCCGCAACCAACGTACATGCCCTTTGATCGGAATCAAACCTGGGACCTTTTAGTCCGCAGGCTGATGCTCTATCCACTGAGCCAAACCGGTTTCGACCATTCTCTATTTTTTTTTAATTGATTTCAGAGAGGAAGGGAGAGGGAGAGAAAGATAGAAACATCAATAATGAGAGAGAATCATTGATTGGCTGCCTTCTGCATGCCCCCTACTGGGGATCTAGCCTGCAACCCAGGCATATGCCCTTGACTGGTATTGAAGCTGGGACCCTTTGGTCCACAGGCTATGTTCTCTCCACTGAGCCAAACTGGCTAGGGCGGAGTACTATTCTAGAAGTTGATTAGAATATGTATAATTATTGGTCATCTCTTAAATTTATGAAGTCTTAATTTTTTTTACAGTGTTGATTTTGATTCTTTCAGGTTCTTCAGATAGACCCTGAAGTGACAGATGAAGAAATAAAAAAGAGGTTTCGGCAGGTATGGTACTATTTCTCTGTAATGGAAGGAGTTTGAACATTTTGAAAATGTAAGCATATGATGGTTTTCTTAATATTTGGTATTACGGCCCTAACTGTTCTTTGACTCAGCGGATAGAGCGTCGGCCTGGGAACTGAAAGATCTCAGGTTCATTTCCAGTCAAGGGCATGTACCTTGGGTGTGTGCACATCCCTAGTAGGAGGTATGTAGGAGGCAGCTGATTGATGTGTCTCATCGATGCTTCTGGCTCTCTATCCCTCTCCCTTCCTCTCTGTAAAAAAAAAAAAAAAAAATTTGCTATTATGTCTTTTGGGCCAACATTTAACTTTTTTTTTTTTTTTTTTTTTTTTTAACTTAAAACTGTGTAACTCTTAGATAAAAACCTTATGACGACATAAAATCTTAAGTAATTTGATGGTCAAAGCTTACCTCTGAATGGAATGAATTTTATATCCAAATAGAATCTGTCTAGCCCTTATTTAAAAGGGAGAAGTACAAGTAGAATTGTACCTTTTACATAGAGTCATACTTACTAAGTCCCCTGGCTTCTAGGAGAGAACATGTTAAATGATTTGTAACAGTTTTTTATTTATTTTAAGACCCTATTCCTTGGTAATTTGCTTTTGAAAATTTAAATGACTATCCAGGAGATATAAGGAATGCTTTGTAGAAATTCTCTAGGAAAGAAGATCCACAATGTCTGATTCTTGTTCATTCTAATCCTATATGATAAAAGGCTAATATGCAAATCAACCGATTGGCTGACCGACTGGTCACTATGATGTGCACTGACCACCAGGGGGTAGACACTTAACGTAGGAGCCTGCCACCTGGTTGTCAGTGCGCTCAGCCAAAAGCTGTGCTCATGCTGGCAAGCACAGCGGCCGTGGTGGGAACCTCCCCCGCCTCTGTGGCAGCAGTAATGGTGTTTGCCCGCCGGTTTAGGCGGAGAGTGGTCCTAAGCCCTCAGTTGGACATCCTCCCAGGGCTCCCGGGCTGCGAGGGTGCAGGCCAGGCTGAGGAGACGCCCCTCCCCCCAGCACAGATTTTGTGCCCGGGGCCTCTAGAGTTTGATGACTTGAGCTACAAAGTAGTTTTGAGGGTTGAGTAAGACGCCAGCCTTTCCTTCTGTGAATGGAATAATCACACTCCCGATAATGTTTTTACAAATTGGATTTTCTATGTATTTCATGTTTTTTTTAACTTTCCCCAATGTCTTGATTTTTCTTATGTACTACAATTTTCAACCAGTGTGCCACAAGAATTTTGAAAAACACGCAATACCTGACTATCTAGTCATGGACACTGACCTCTTTTCCCTTAGATTATCAAATTAAAAAATGACAACAGCCAACACAACAATAGCAGTTTCGTGTGAATGAATCAAAATTTTTATTGCACCTGGCCAGTGTGGCTCAGTTGGTTGAACATTGTCCCATGCTACAGGTTGCTGGCACATTTCCCGGTCAGGGCACGTACCTGGATTTTGGGCCCCGTCTCTATTAGGGGGGGTGTAGGAGGCAGCTGATCAATGTTTCTCACTCATTGATGTTTCTCTCTCTGTCCCTCTCCCGTCTTCTTTCTCTCTAAAAATCAATAAAAAATATTTTAAAAACCTAAGATGTTAATTAAAAAAAATTCAATTATACCTATTTCTTTTTTTGTCATTTTGACAAAAAATATATTTTTTTGGTGTGTTGCAGTAATTAGTTTGTGTGCCACAAGATGAAAAAGGTTGAAAACTACTGCACTACATATTTAAAAGGGCTTGACCAGTGCTGAATATTATTCTTAGCTCCTGTATGACATTCTTTTTAATACCCAGTGTTATGCTTGCTTCTTTTTTTCTTTTAATGCTCATCCAAAGATATTTTTCCATTGATTTTTGTTGTTGTTACTCCTCACCTGAGGATACTTTTTCCATTGATTTTTAGAGTGGAAGGGAAGGGTAGAGACACAGAGAAAGAAACATCAATGTGAGAGAGACTCATCGATAGTTGCCTCTGGCACACACCCCAATGGGCTGGGACCAAGCCTGCAACTGGAGTTATGTGCCCTTGACTGGAACCCAGGACCCTTCAGTCTGCGAGCTGACGCTCTGTCCACTGAGTCAAACTGGTTAGGGCTTTCCATTAATTTTAGAGAGAGTGGAAGGAAAGGAGGAAGGGGAGAGAGAAAGAGAGAAAAACAGAAACATTGATGTGAAAGAGACACACTGATTGGTTGCCTCCTGCATGCACCCTGACCTGGGCTGGGGGTTGAGTCTGCAAAGAGTTGCCCTTGACCAGGAATCGAACTCTTTGGTCCGCAGCCCGATGCTCTAACCACTGAGAAAAACTGGCTAGGGCATGCTTGCTTCTTGAATACAGTCATTGCCCCTCTCATTGCTGACTCATAATCATCTTATGATCTGCTATTAAGCTAAGATGTTTTTTATCTTTGCCTACTCAATCATTGCCCATTTTATAATTTTATAGTTTTTTTTTTCTTCCCGATTTCTCTACACTTACACGTATTCAGTTTTTTTCTTTTTCTAAAATTTCAAGTTTGAACTGGGCAAGTAAGTTACTTTCAACCTTTCTATGCCTGTTAACCTTAATTGTGAAATGCACATAATAGTGATGTCTACCTCATGGGGTTGTTAGTGAGGATTAGGTGAGATAATACAGTAAAACACTAGAATATGTATATGGTAGCTGTTGTCAGTGTGGGTTAGACAGTATGCTATTTACTTGCATTATTTCCTTTCAACTTTAAAACAACACAATGAAAGATAAGCGCCTAATAATTGGTGGAAGATGAGGCAGATAGGTTAAGTGAGTTGCTTAAGGTCTTACAGCTAGTACGTGATTGAAGTTGGAATTAGACCCCGGGATTCTCTGTAGTAATGTAGGATTTAGCATTACATTCCCACTTGCTGTCATTCCTCAACACAGCCCCTCTGTTCCAGCTAGTTGGTTTCTGTCTGTCAGTGGCAGGAGGTCAGTGGTTCTTAACCATGGATGTCTAAAAGAATCAGCTGTGGAGATTTTTTATTTTGACAAAATTTTTTAAGTTATAAAGATAAAGCAGTGAACACTCATATACTCACCATCTATTTGCAACAGTTTGCTTCATTTTACATATATTTTTGCCTTAATTTTTGGCAAGTAAATTACAGACGCCTGATACTCCAACATGAATCTCCTTAAATAAAAAAGGACAATTTTTTTTTTTTTTTTGCATAACTACTTGTCACACCTAACAAAATTAACACCAGTTCCTTACTATTTTTTGATACCCATCCTAGTACAGGTTTAACAAGTACAGATGCTAGAGACTCATTCGGAAGCTCTGAGGGTGGAAAATAGACATCTGTATTTTTTTGAAAACTTCACAGGATTGGAGCACAGCCAGAGCTGAGAACCACAGTTTTAAGTTAGAAGTTCTTTTAGGAAAGAGATGATGTCCCATCCCTGTTTTCTTCTCCGTAGTGCTCAGAATAAGGAACCTAACAGGAACTTGGTAGTTTTCAGTGTCTCTCCTCCCCCCAATGATCACAACATCTTCATAATACTAGGCTTACATTTATTCTCAACATGGTGATTAAAACCCTAAATGTTTCCCAGTTGTGTATTTATTTACCTTTTGGTGCTTGAATTTTATTAAAGATCAGGTTTTCTGGGCCTTTTATGATATTAATTTAAAAAAATACTTCTGGCCTGACTGGTACGCTCAGTGATTGAGCATTGACCCATGAACCAGGAGGTCACCTTTCAGTTCCCGATCAGGGCACATGCCAGGTTGTGGGCTTGATCCCCAGAGAGGGCCTGCAGGAGGCAGCCAATCAGTTATTCCCTCTCATCATTGTTACTTCTCTCTCTCCCTTCTCTTCCTCTCTGAAATCAATTTAAAAAAATATATATTAAAATATATTTTATTATTTTTATAGAGAGGAAGAGAGAGGGTTAGAGAGTTAGAAACATTGATCAGCTGCCTCCTGCACACCCCCTACTGCGGATGTGCCTGCAACCAGGGTACATGCCCTTGACCGGAATCGAACCTGGGACTCTTTAGTCTGCAGGCCGATGCGCTAGCCACTGAGCCAAACCAGTTAGGGCTAAAAATATTTTTTTAAAATGCTCCTGGCTAACAGTCTTTTTTGCCATAGTACCTTAGAGTTTTTGGTTTAAAGAATGCAGGCAAAGAGTAAATGTTCCTTTTCCCTTATAGTTATCCATTTTGGTGCATCCTGACAAAAATCAAGATGATGCTGACAGAGCACAAAAGGCTTTTGAAGGTATTTGTAAATTTACCTGCTTTTGAATAATATAGTCAAATGTTAGGGATGAACTGTTTCTTGTCCTGGGTCAAGAAAAGAATATAATAGTTTTGTCTTCCGGTCATGAAGAAGCTGGTTTTCAGTAGAAGAACAGTTGTCATTCCAAAGCAAAATGTCGCTGTTTAAGAAATAAACCTTAACTTTGCTTTGTTAAAGCTTCTTTGTGCCAACAAAGACTGTTACTGCATAGGATCCTTTTTTTCTCTGAACATAAAGTATTGGCAATGTTTTATCACTGAATTAAACCTGGATGTGGTGTATTTAGCCTTGAGTGTGTATTTTTTTCCAAGGCTCTCAAGGAAAGTCATTGCTCTAGTTATATGTTTTAAAATTAGTTTAACAACAGTAAATAATTTAACAAAGTAGGGAATGCTTTTAGATGGCACAAGTCCGTTTACACTGCCTGAGTATAGTTCAGACTTGCAGAGGGTGTTTGCAGAAACAGTTAATTTCAATGTTTTGCATTAGCTGTGGACAAAGCTTACAAGTTGCTACTGGATCAGGAACAAAAGAAGAGGGCCCTGGATGTAATTCAGGCAGGAAAAGAATACGTGGAACACACTGTAAGTATTTATAGAGCCGCTGTGTTTACAGGAAGTACTAGCAAGCCTTGGGCATCTTGTAGGAGGGCTAATGTTAACATAGCAATGCCTACTGTTGAAACTGTGATTGCATATGTGGTCTCCACCCCTTTGCTGTGGTGGCCGTGAGCATTGTGCGCCTAAAACTATCACTTCACCCCGGACCTCAGGGCGAAGAGCGGTCAGGACCTGCTCCGACCTCTTTCCTTAGCGGTCCTGTGTTGAGAGATGGCTTTGCTGTCCTCTCTCTACATGTCACATCACTCCATTTGAGAGGGGAGAAGTGGAGCAGCCATGGTCACACTTGAACCTTGATTTTTATCCTTGTCCCTGTGAAGGGGTTGGAACATGGGCTTGAGGTAGGCTGGCAAGGGGATATGGGTAAATTTTTTAAAAAGGAGGAGCTACCTGTTTGTATGAACAGGGAAGGACTCAATTGAAATAAATTTAGTTAGAGCTGGTGTTACTCTTTTGTTATTACTGAAATCTGAGGCAGGAAATGTTCAGGTGGCTTGCTTGAGGTAAGAAAGGTCTTTGTTTAATATTTTACTTGCCGGTCAAGAATCTTGAGACCATTTATAAGGGCTATTTCAGTCGGGAGTGAATATGGATGTTTTCTTTGAAGAGTGTTGGAAGCTAAGACAACGTCATAACCAATAATAATGATGACTCCAAGTTTGGATCAGGAAAAGGAATAAAAAGGAGATGGATGACCATTATTACATCCTGCTGGTCATGTCTTGGAAATGGAACGTGTAGGACCAATTCTGAAAATATCAGAAAAGTACCTGAAAATTTGTACTTGAACCATTATAGTAGTCACCTTTCATCTGAATTTTGCTTGTAAAGGAGCCATCCTCAGTCTTTCTGACCACAAGGTGGCAGTGGGGCCTGTCTGAGCTTGGAAAGCTCTGCTTTGTGCTGGTGGACAGCACTGAGTGATTGCTTAATGGAGTAATGCCATTCTTGTGTGGATGAGTATATTTGATTTTTTTTTTTATCTCAATAGTTGCCAAAGTGGTAAAAACACCAATTAACATGATGTGAAAATTATGGGGTTTCACAGTGAAAATAAAGGAATGCAGTTGTAGAAATGCCAAAACAACAACAGAAAACCCACCCCCACGCCAATATTTATTCTATAGCTGCTTCTAAAACTTGACAACTATGTTTTCTTTACTAAATACATAACCACAAACTGAAAGATAAGTGGGTAATGGGTTGCGTTTATTGGATCTGGCCTAGGATTTGATGAGTTGGGGACAGCTCCCTCACTGCCCTCTTTCATCCTTCCAGGAGGTTGGACCTTGTTCCTAGTCCTCTTTGCGTTGCTGTTTGGGAGGGCAGGCTCATTTTTCGATGGAAACTTCCTGTGCGTATAGAAAAGTGCACCTATCTGTGTGCAGGCTCATGGATATTCTTAAATTATGAGTGCTCATTTTTTTGATGAAAAAAAAATTTTTTTTTTAGGTGAAAGAGCGAAAAAAGCAATTAAAGAAGGAAGGAAAACCTACAAATGTAGAGGAGGATGATCCAGAGCTGGTGAGTTAAATAAGGAAAAAGCCACCTTTTCTGGTGTGTCTGGGCTCACTGATGCGTTAGAGAGGGAAGCCTAAAGAGCGATGCACACATGCTATAAACATTTATTTTAACTCAACATATTAAATGTACATTTATGCACCCTTTAAAAATTCACCTCTTTTTTGACAGAGGCCCACGGCCTTTTTCTTTGAGTATGTATTGGAGTTTGTAGTTGACTTTATTTTATGAAACACACACATGAAGCATTATCCGTAGTTTTTAGTACTTTTAATTTCTTTTGAAGTACTTTAAAAATGTAGGTACTTGTGAAAAATACCAAGAGCAAAGTCCTAGATATTTATGATTTTATTCCTAATCTTTTCCAAATGTCTCACCTATACCTCATTCAGTAGCAGTTATTTTTAGGGTCTTATGTTTATTGAATTTTTATAAAGCATTATACTTAGTTTTAAAAGAAACAACAAACACTTTTATAACCTCATTTATGAATTTCTGTGATATTTAAGTCACAAGTATAGTATTAATTGCAACTGGCATAGATAGCTTTGAGAAAAATCAGAGATGACTCTTATTTTATTTTAAAATATATTTTATTGATTTTTTACAGAGAGGAAGGGAGAGGGATAGAGAGCTAGAAACATCGATGAGAGAGAAACATCCATCAGCCGCCTCCTGCACACTCCCCACTGGGGATGTGCCCACAATCAAGGTATATGCCCTTGACCGGAATCAAACCCAGGACCTTTCGGTCCACAGGCCGATGCTCTATCCACTGAGCCAAACCAGTTTCGGCATGACTCTTATTTTTATTTATTTATATGTTGATTGATTTTAGAGAGAGGGTGGGAGAGAGAGAGAAACATCAGAGTGAGAGAAAAACATCTATTAGTTGCCTCCCGCAACGGGATCCAACTCGAAACCTGCTCTGTGCCCTGACAGAATCGAACCTGCCACCTTTTGGTGTACAGGATGACCAATCAGCTGAGCCAGGTCAGCCAGGCTACAAGTAACTCTTGACCGAAATCGAACCCGGGACCTTTCAGTCCACAGGCCGATGCTCCATCCACTGAGCCAAACCGGTTTTGGCAAGAACCCTAATTTAAAAAAAAAAATGTTTTTATTGATTTTTAGAAAGAGGAAGGGAGAGGAATAAAGAGATAGAAACATCATTGAGCGAGGCTGCCTCTTGCATGCCCCCTACTGGCGATCGAGCCCCATGTGCCTTACCAGGGATCAAACTGGTAACAACCTCTTGGTTCCTGGGTCAGTGCTCAACTACTGAGCCACACCAGTCAGGCAAGCACCCTAACTTTATTTTAGTTGTCTTTTTTTCTGATTATAAAGGAACAATTGCTAATGATAGCAAATTTGGAAAAAGCAGAAAAATATAAAATATTGACAATCACCAGTAACTGTTCACCCAGGAGAGTTTAGAGCTTTTAAAGATATTAAAATATTCATGACAGACTCTTTTACTCCTTTGATGTTTGTCTTTATTAGAGATTGAAGTTGTCAGCATTGCTTTCATTGTGGACAGTAACAATATTATAAGAAGCAGGAAATTTTTGGGCCCTTTTACTTTCTTTTCTCTTCACATGGTACTCTTTGTTCCAGTGTCTCTGATTTTAGGATATAGGCTCTATGAAATCTGCATGATGACTTATTTTCTAACTTTCTTTGTATACTTGAAATACTTCATATTTGGGGTGAAAGTTTCAGAGATAGAGTTCTGTTTTCTTTCCTTTTTAAAGAAAAAATATTTTTATTGACTTCAGAGAGGAAGGGAGAGGGAGATTGAAAAACATTAATAATGAAAATGTCATTGAGTGGCTGCCCTCAACCTGGGCATGTACCCTGACCAGAATTGAACCATGACCTCCTGGTTCATAGGTTGATGCTCAACCACTGAGACTACATCCGACCCGCCAGGCAGAGTTCTGTTTTCTTTCTTTCCTTCCTTCCTTCCTTCCTTCCTTCCTTCCTTCCTTCCTTCCTTCCTTCCTTCCTTCCTTCCTTCCTTCCTTCCTTCCTTCCTTCCTTCCTTCCTTCCTTCCTTCCTTCCTTCCTTCCTTCTTTTAAATATATTTTATTGATTTTTCACAGAGAGAAAGAGAGAGGGGTAGAGAGTTAGAAACATTGATGAGAGAGAAACATCGATCAGCTGCCTCTTGCACACCCCCTACTGGGGATGTGCCCGCAACCAAGGTACATGCCCTTGGCCGAAATTGAACCTGGCACCCTTTAGTCCGCAGGCTATCCACTGAGCCAAACCGGTTTTGGCCAGAGTTCTGTTTTCTATTTAATATGTTAACTCTTTCTGACTCTTCCAACAAGGATATTGCCCTGTCCTCAGAGTTCAGAGTAGAGGAAAGCGGCAAGAAGGGATAAGCCTGCTCTTTCTAAGAACATCCAGGAAGTGGCTACATCACTTTTCCTATTATCCTGTGGATTGAAACTTAAGTTACGCGGCCTTCACTCGCTACTAGGAAGCCTAGGCACACAGGCTTTTATGTTGGGTGCCGTGTGCCTTAAGGTAAGGGATTTTAGATGGAGGGAGAGGAGCTAATGAGGTGGGTGAGGATGGCAACTCTAGCCCTGCCACAGTAATAGACTCCTAAGACTGGCCTGCTTGATAACAGCTTCCTATCTCTAGTATCTAGTCTGGTGCCTAGCACAGAGTAATTATAAAATTTTTGTGAAAAGAAAGAGAAAAGGAAGTTAATTATGGAAGGTCTTTGGCAGAAAGGGTCCTCCAAAATCTCAAGTGGTTGTGATGAGTAGGTAGTGCCTTTTACTAGAGCAACTTTCCTTTATGTCATCTGACGGTGGAAGTGGTGGGAATATCTCAGAGGTGGAAGTGTTACTTCGCGAGAGCATCAAGTGGTTCTCTTTGAAGATCCCTTTCCTTGCTGAGATCTAGTCTGCTTGTGTCTTGGGCTCTATCTGAAAAAACTTGATTCAAGTAGTTGGTAAAAATAATTTAATTTAATTTTCTTTGATTCTTAACTTTCCTGTAGTTCAAGCAAGCAGTATACAAACAGACCATGAAACTCTTTGCTGAGCTGGAAATTAAAAGGAAGGAGAGAGAAGCCAAAGAGATGCATGAAAGGTATCTATCAATATATTCACTTAAATCATATTTAAATACCTAGATTATCTAACATTGCTCTTTGGGGATTTTCCTAAAGTCGGAATAATGTCATTTAAATGATGATCTAAAATAGTTCTCTGAAACAGCCAACGTTTTGAATCACAAGGGTAAGAAATTCTGACTTTGGGAAATACTGAATAGACCTGTCCACAGGAAGTTTATAATCAAGGGTGCTGTGAAATACTGAAGTGAGAGAGACACATCTATTGGTTGCATCTCAGAGAGAGAGAAACATTCATGTGAAAGAGACACATCTATTGGCTGCCTCTTGCATGGGGATTGAGCCTGCACCCAGGTATATGCCCTTCACCTGAATTGAACCAGGACCCTTCAGTCCTCGGCTGACCTTCTGTCCACTGAGCCAAACTGGCTAGGACAAGACAGCTATTTTTGTAGAATCCTAGGATATTGACTTACATTATATGTTTGCTTCTGTGGGGAGATGCTTTAACTTGTATAGTTAGCATACTTAAGTATCGTATAAATACTATAGTCTGGCTTTCCTCACAGGAAGCGACAAAGGGAAGAAGAAATTGAAGCTCAAGAAAAAGCCAAACGTGAAAGGGAGTGGCAGAAAAACTTTGAGGTAAATTTCAAGGTGGTCAGGGATTCTCATTCCAGAGTAAGAAAACTTCCCAGCAAAGAAACTTGGTTTCTGGGGCATTCCCAGCATTGACGGGGCCGGCAGCCAGGGAAATGGGAGATGTGGGAAGAGGGAGTTGTCCTGCCTCTTGGCAAGGGCAGTGAGGATCCCAGAATGGTGTTTTAGAGAGTGTGGTAGCCACACGCTGCCAGATAGGCTTAAGAAAAACGGGCTGCCCATTTAATTCAGGGGCAGACATGGAGAGGTGCCCGACTTAGAGGTCTTTTAGTAGAAATAGGTTCTTATGAATCTGATGTCCGCCTATAGACTCTTAAAACAACTTAAAAACTTTATTTTATTTATATCATAGAGAGACTTACGGCTTCTGAGCTAGACTCCTCTTTGACACTCACCTTCAGGTGCACACCAGTTATCGGAATTGAGCAGCACTTGGTCTTCTGTAGCATTGAGGTCTCAGGGTAGGGATGCTAACCAGAGGTGATGACTTTGTGCCACTGCATGCACGAGTAAAGAGAAGACAGGGAGGAAGAAGTCCCAGTGGCCCTCTCAGTCCACTGGTGCTGGCGTTGAGCCTCCATCCAAGTTTTGGTGGGAAGTAGGGCAGGTTCAGTGGAAAGAGTGGCTGCCAGCCATGTGGCTTCGACTTCTCTGAGCCTGGTGTCGTCGTTTGTGATGTGCTAGTGGCACTCTGCACAGATCAGTCAGCTTTCTGTGAGGATTAGAAATAGCATATGCTAACTGTCTAGCCCGGAGGTCCCCACTTCCAGCCTGCGCTGCCTCACCCTGCCTGCTGGGGGCGGTGTGACTTCCGGGGCAGTGGCTTGTCCAGGTGGCTGGGCTGGGGTACAGGGCAGTGGCAGAGCAGGTGAGGCCCTTCCTCTGATTGACTAGTTTCCTTATCTCCAACCACTTTTGTGCTCAGGAAAGTCGAGATGGCCGTGTGGACAGCTGGCGGAACTTCCAAGCAAATACAAAGGGGAAGAAAGAGAAGAAAAATCGGACCTTCCTGAGACCACCAAAAGTGAAAATGGAGCAGCGAGAGTGACGCCGCGGTCACAGCCACGGGACCTTTGCCCAGCCGTCTCCCCTCCTGCTTTGAAGGACTCATTCTTCCCTCCCACTTCCACCCAACATAGAATAGTATTTGCTTTTTAGGCCATTTTGTTTTCAATACAATTTAATATCAATCAGAGAATTCCTTTTGTACATTGAAATGAGGGGCTTGGTTTAAAAAGAAACCTTCCTCCCCCGACCCCTAGGCCAACCGAGATTGGACGGTGCCGCCCCGGCGCTGCCTTCTCCACCCTGTAACCTGACGTTTTGTACTCCACTGAGTTGTCCTGGCCAGAGGCTCGTGTAGAGTTTGTGGAAATCACCCAATTAAACATATTGCTTAAAATGGTGTGGCTGTGACTTCCGAGACAAGCCTGGGCCACCTGGGGAAGCCCCTCTGCTTCACTGTCTCCCTCTGGGGGTGGCGTCCTTCAGAGCCACCGGTCAGACGGGGAGGGCAGTGGGCACACAGAGTGGTCGCCTGACACCCTGACACCCTGGTGTTTGGCACGTGCTCTTCCATCTGACTGACCAGTCAGCGTGGCGTGGAGCTCTGAGCCATCCAAACCCGCTCACTTCCCAAGAGCTGGCTGTCCTCCCTCTGACACCACATGTCCTAGCCTGTCTGCATTCATTAGTGGTCGTACTCTGTATGTGTAATAAATTTTTATACCCTAACCATTACTGAAGTCTTCAGGCGTTATTCCAAGGTGAGTCCCTTGTCTGGCTTGGTCCAATCCTGAAATCCTTTGGAGTTCTGGCTCCCTACCACTTACTTGCTAAACCTTAGTTTCTTCACCTGCAAAATGGGAAAATACTGTAGATTACTGTGCAATTTTTAGGGAGGAGTAGCCATCCCACCTGATAAAGAGGAAATATACTAATTGACTGTTGAGCCCTCACAAAGATGGCGGCACCCACAGACAATAATGAGGGAACATGCTAATTGACTGCCACACCTTCAAAGATGGCAGTAACCACAGCCACGGGATGGCGGTGCCCAGTCCCCTCAGCCCTGCTGGGGCAGCAGGTGTGTGACGTGGCTGGGCCGAACTCCACGTGGGTCTGGCTGTTCTGCGTGCCTGCCTCCAGAGTCCGCCAGTTCCTTAGCCCCCCAGCCGCCCAAGGCTGGCCTGAGGTGCAGGTGAGCCTTGGGTGGTGGCTGACCAGCCACCCAGGGCCGCCCGAGGTTTGCGCTGCCAGCTGTGGCAGCAGCAGAGGCGTGATGGGGGTGTCGCCTTCCCCTGATTGCCGGGTCGCCTCCCACCCCTGAGGGCTCCCGGTCTGAGAGGGGGCAGGCTGGGCCGAGGGCATGAATTTTCATGTGCCGGGCCTCCCTTTAGCCTTTTATTTACATTTATGTGTATGTGTAAATAACAGGCTAAGTGACTGGCCAGCTGACTGGCTGGTAGGGAAAACCACACTGACCACTAGGGGGCAGATGCTCAATGCAGGAGCTGCTGAGCGACGGCAACTTTCCAGAGTGCCCTCTTGCACTCTGGGACCCCCGCGGGGGATGTTGGACTGCTGGTTTGGGCCTGATCTCTGCAGGCCAGGCCAAAGGACCCCACCTGCTGGAGGGATCCCACTCACTCCACAGACACCCTTCAAGCCCCAGTGCTGCCCAGGTGCAGCCGACCAGAGGGGGGCCTCGGGAGGTTGGCTCCAGGGCAGGTCCGGCCCATCTTGCCCAGTCCCACCCTGCTGGTCACCTAATTAATTTCCTCTCAATATGCACAGATCCGTGCACTGGGCTTCTAGTGGCATAGATGAGGTGGCTCCGAGTGCCAAAGGGTGTTGCCAATCTTCTTTCTGCATTAAATGAACGTCCTGATTACTTTGAGAAATAATGTGTGAAAGTACACAGCTCATTGTATACTAGGTATCTGGTTAGTAATGTGGATTTTATAATCAAAGATAACATGATAATTTCAAGAGAAACACCAAAAGTGCCATATTAGAACTAAGATGCACAAAATTAAAAAAACAACAACTATAAAACAAACGTCTATCACCCCAAAACCAAGGAAAAGCTGGTTGAAAGGAAGCCCTACAATTAGACTGAAAGAGAAAGGAGAATCCAGGGCACAGGCGCTGAAAAACGGAGGTAGGGGGGCGCGGACGAGATACAGGCTGGCGGCGGGTCCCGGCTGGTGGACGGCAGTGCTTTCTTTGACCCGAAGAGACACAAGCTCCCAATCTCTCTGAAATCCAGTTTCCGGGGAGAGGCTAGACTGTCTGCCATCGGGTCGGAAAGTGAGGCTGGCTTGCTTGCAGAGCTGCGATTGTTTGCTGTGCTGTGGTGAGACGCGGAAAGATGTGAGGAGACACGGAAGCCATCAGAGAGGCGGCAGACGGGCAGCCGTTACTGTTGGCCATGCCCCAGTCTAGTGACACCCTGAGACTCTGCCCTGAGACTCCACCCCGCAAAACCTACAAACACACAAGCTCCAAGCAGTGGCTTTTGCATATGAATGGCTCTTTCTGTTGCAGTTTAGCAAAATTGCAACCTGGGGCAAATAGATCCAAGGAGGACAGGACTGTAGTTCACACTGTAGCTCCCGCAACTGTACTAGCCTCAGACAGTAGCTGAACTGCAACTCATTGAGACCCAGAACCCAGTGTTCTAGTCCTGTTTCAACCCCTCACACCCATAAGTGACACATTCGGGAGATAGTCTCAGTGAGTACCAAAGCCCCAATGAAACAAGGTGTGACTCCAGCACAGCAGTTCTTCCTTTATAGACAGAGCAGGTCCTCACAGACAATTGGCCTGGAGGTCAATTCCTCCCAATGTACCAACAGCAATCAAGGCTTAATTACACCAAGACTTCACTCAGCCCACAAAGGGATATAGCAAAAGCCACCACCTCAGGTGAATGGGGAAGCTGAGCTACTGGCCCCTATAGGTCACTGACCACACAAAGCCACTTCATCAATGCAGGGAGGCAGCCAAAATGAGAAGACACAGAAATATGACATGAATGGGAGAGATGGAGAGTAAACTACTGGACGACAAACAGTTCAGAATCACATATATAAGATTACTCAAGAATCTTCTAAAAACCTTTGAGAAACTTGATGAGACCTCCAAGAAGCTAAGTGAGACCTTCAAGGACCTTAATGAGAATACCAAAAAATGGAAAAGGACCAGCCAAAAATTAAGCATACAAAGTCTGAAATAAAGAATATACAGAAACTCAACTGTACCCCAAGAATCAAACCAAAGATCTGAAATATGAGGAAACAAAAAACACCCAACCAGAGAGGCAAAAAGAAAGAAGAATCCAAAAGTATGAGGATAGTGTAAGGATCCTCTGGGACGGCTTAAAGCGTACCAACATCTGGATTTTTGGGGTGCCAGAAGAAGAGAGCAAGCAGGATATTGAAGGCTTATTGGAAGAAAATGACAGAAAACTTACCCTATCTGGTGAAAGAAATAGACCTACAAGTTCAGGAAGTGCACAGGACCCAAACAAGAGGAATCCAAAGAGGACCACACCAAGACACATCATAATTAAAATGCCAAGGGCAGCCGAAGCCGGTTTGGCTCAGTGGTAGAGCGTCGGTCTGCGGACTGAAAGGTCCCAGGTTCGATTCCGGTCAAGGGCATGTACATTGGTTGCGGGCACATCTCCAGTAGGGGGTGTGCAAGAGGCAGCTGGCCGATGTTTCTCTCTCATCGACGTTTCTAGCTCTCTATCTCTCTCTCTTCCTCTCTGTTAAAAATCAATAAAATATATTTTTTAAAAAAAAATTTAAAAAAAAAATAAAAATAAAAATAAAATGCCAAGGGCAAAAGACAAAGAGAAAATCTTACAAGCAGCAAGAGAAAAACAACTAGTTACCTACAAGGGAGTACCCATACGACTGTCAGCTGATTTCTCAACAGAAACTATGCAGGCTAAAAGGGAGTGGCAAGAAATATTCAAAATGATGACCAACAAGAACCTACAACCAAGATTACTCTACCCAGCAAAGCTATCACTCAGAATTGAAGGGCAGATAAAGAGCTTCACAGAAAAGAAAAAGTTAAAGGAGTTCATCAACACCAAACCAGGATTACATAAAATGTTGAAGGACATTCTTTAAGAAGAGGAAGAAGAAGAAAAAGGTAGCTGAAACTGGTTTGGCTCAGTGGATAGAGTGTCAGCCTGTGGACTAAAGGGTCTCAGGTTCGATTCCGGTCAAGGGCATGTACCTTGGTTGCGGGCACATCCCCAGTAGGAGGTGTGCAAGAGGCAGCTCATCGATGTTTCTCTCTCATCAGTGTTCCTAACTCTCTATCCCTCTCTCTTCCTTTCTGTAAAAAATCAATAAAATATATTTAAAAAAAGAAGAAAAAGGTAAAAGTAAAAAATTATGAACAACAAAAAAGTTGAACAACAAAAAATACATACCTACCAACAAGTGAATCTAAAAATCAAGAGAATAATAAAAAAAAAATCTGAAGAACAAAATGGACTGGTGAATATAATAGAATCAGGGACATAGAAAGGGATTGGACTAACAATTCACAGGGGGAAAAGGGTCTGAGGGATGCGAGAAGAGATTGGACAAAAATCTTACACTTATGGATGAAGATGGTGGCGGGGGAAAGGGCATAGGGTGGGGTTGGGAATCAAGTGGAGGGGAGCTATGGAGGGCCGGGGTTTTTGAGTTTGACACGCATCTTCCTCCAATAATGCTTGTAACTGTTGGTATTATTACCTGTAATAATCTGAACAATAAAGTTTTTTTTTTTTTTAATATATTTTATTGATTTTATACAGAGAGGAAGGGAGAGAGATAGAGAGCTAGAAACATCGATGAGAGAGAGTCATCGATCAGCTGCCTCTTGCACACCCCCCACTGGGGATATGCCCGCAACCAAGGTACATGCCCTTGACCGGAATCGAACCCGGGACCTTTCAGTCCCCAAGCCGACGCTCTATCCATTGAGCCAAACCGGTCCCGGCAAAGATTTATTTTTTTAAAAAAAGAAAGAAAAAGA